ATATGTATATATATATATATGTATGTATATGTATATATATATATATGTATGTATATGTATATATATATATATGTATGTATATGTATATATATATATATGTATGTATATGTATATATATATATATGTATGTATATGTATATATATATATATGTATGTATATGTATATATATATATATGTATGTATATGTATATATATATATATGTATGTATATGTATATATATATATATGTATGTATATGTATATATATATATATGTATGTATATGTATATATATATATATGTATGTATATGTATATATATATATATGTATGTATATGTATATATATATATATGTATGTATATGTATATATATATATATGTATGTATATGTATATATATATATATGTATGTATATGTATATATATATATATGTATGTATATGTATATATATATATATGTATGTATATGTATATATATATATATGTATGTATATGTATATATATATATATGTATGTATATGTATATATATATATATGTATGTATATGTATATATATATATATGTATGTATATGTATATATATATATATGTATGTATATGTATATATATATATATGTATGTATATGTATATATATATATATGTATGTATATGTATATATATATATATGTATGTATATGTATATATATATATATGTATGTATATGTATATATATATATATGTATGTATATGTATATATATATATATGTATGTATATGTATATATATATATATGTATGTATATGTATATATATATATATGTATGTATATGTATATATATATATATGTATGTATATGTATATATATATATATGTATGTATATGTATATATATATATATGTATGTATATGTATATATATATATATGTATGTATATGTATATATATATATATGTATGTATATGTATATATATATATATGTATGTATATGTATATATATATATATGTATGTATATGTATATATATATATATGTATGTATATGTATATATATATATATGTATGTATATGTATATATATATATATGTATGTATATGTATATATATATATATGTATGTATATGTATATATATATATATGTATGTATATGTATATATATATATATGTATGTATATGTATATATATATATATGTATGTATATGTATATATATATATATATATATATATATATATATATATATTATTCATGTGTAAGGTGTTTCTGCTGAAATGGAATGAGGATTTCCGTACCGAACGTCTTCCAGTCCCTGTCGAATGGTCACCTGGTTCTAAGCTCCGATTAGTCTTGTTTATCCTGCATGTCGAGCGTTCTGTTTCTCCTAGTTCCGGTAACCGAACATCGAATTGGGGTGATCTACAAAAGACACTCGGACGATCAAATCAGAAATTTTCTCTATATAGTTTTGTAGTGAGTTTTAAAAACGTGAGTTTACCTCGAATCTAAACTCTTGTTTATAGAGTTTAAAAGAATCTGACAAATTAATTTACCTCTTAATGGTCATTAATTCAAACATTAATTGTTTAACAGTAGTCACTATCACATTTATTGTGCCTTAACTCTGCTCAATAGTTGTCGGGGCCGAACGGCTGAGAGGCTTTTTCCTGCATGTTGTCTGTTCGGTCGGCCATGAGCCCAAAGTAACTTAGAGGTTCTCTTACACCTGTACCGTTCGGTCGGCTATGAGTCCATAGTAACATAAGGCATAAAATAAGTTGTTCAAAATACGTGAAGCACAAGCAGAAAACTATAAAATTATCCATTTTCACTTCTCTTAGTATCTTTACATCAAACATTCAAGGGGTAATTCCTACCCTATCCCATACAGGGATAGTAAGAATGACAAAGCAAGTGATCCCACAAGTCGGCCCGTAAGCCTGCATGACAAAATATGTGGAATGGATTAAGATTTCAGGCATGTGAGTTGACAAAGATTGGATCCGCATTACCCGCAATCTGCACAGGCTTGGAACAGGGCAAGGCGGGCCAACCCATGACACACATATCTCCTTACTTCTACTTCTATGAATGTTTCATCTTGGAGTAATGCTCCCTCCACCATCACACAGTGCTCCCTACATCTTTCTGGATTTTTTTTTAATTCAAAAATTACCTTTTTTACTTTTAACATTTACCCTTTTTTTACTTTTATGTCAAAACCCTAATTACCCTACACCTCCCTCTCATTTTCACTCACAGACAACCGCAGCTCCAACCCCCAATCTCACTTTCTCTCTCTCTCCATATATGTTTATTTCCCTACCATTCTCCATGCATATATCACATGTAACCTCTCTCATACTTTTCTACTTTTTTTTCTTTCTTTTTTACCAAAAACTCATCTTATCCTTCCCTCCTTCACTGCCATTAATTTCCCAAACACTTCACGCACTCCTCTTCGTACCCTTGTCCATTCTCAAACCATCAACTCTTTTATCTTCATTAAATCACTCACTTTTCCCAACAATTCTCACACACTATTTTTCTATCTTCCTTTCTCCTCACCAACCATGTTCAAAACAACACCCACTCTCATCTTATCAAAACTCATCTTCCTTTTTAACTTGAAACCTCACCATTCCAATGTTACCATTCTTTTTTTTTGTTCCTCTTACAAAAACTCACGTACACACTCACTACTCTCTTCTCCCTTTTTCAATTTTCTTCTTTCCTCCTTTCTCTTCCTTTTTAATTTGTTACGTAATTATATCTAAATTAATTTTATTTTATTTAATCAAATAATTATTATTAATTTAATTATTATTAATTTAATTACAATTAATTGATTTTCTTTTTGAAAAATGACAGTAAAAAAGAATCACAGTAGGGGAGAAAAAAATAAGAGCAATTTGATTTATGCGGAAGTGGTGGAGTGTGAGGGTGCATTAATACAGTGATGGGGACCATTAATGAGATTTAATGAAATAGTTGGATATTGGTGAAAGTAAAAATAGAAATTAAAAATTTATAAAAGGACAAAAAAAGAATGGGGAGGTGTAGGGAGCACTATGTGATGGTGGAGGGAGCAACTCTCCATCTTGCCCTTTCAAATTTTCACTCTCCACTTCTAGATTATCAAAAATATAATCAATTTCAAAAGGGTTAAATATGCTTTTAGTTCCTGAAGTATCATGCTATGTTGGGTTTCGTCTCTCTTCAAAAGGTTTGTTCATTTTCATCCTCTTAGGTGGGAAACTCGAAAATTTTTAGTCTTTAAAAAGCAATGGCATTAGATTTTCTCTAAGATGGCTAACGGTGTGCCACGTCTGATGTCAACTTCTATGTTAAGTGTCTGCCACGACTTTAAATTTTTTTTCTGAAATCAAATTAGGTGTTTCTTGAAAAATTAGGGTTCTTTCCTTATCTTCAATGAAACGAAGTTGGGATCTTTAATATTTTTTTGAAATCCATGGCAACACCAACAACAATGCTCATTCCAGCAACACTAATATTCTTTTGCAGATCCGAATAAATAAGCACACCTAGTAGCTCTGACCAGTTAAAGTTAATATGTATAAATAAACATAAGCTTCGGAGGAGTCTAGAAGGCTGTCTTGGGGCGCCAACACAAAGGCTCTGGAAAACGTTCCCTCGTCACCAGAAGCCCCGCTCTCGCAATCAGAAACCACTGATTTGTCATCCGAAACATAAGTAGGCGTGTCCGATGAACCCTAAACATAAATGGTTAATGGGTCTGTCCATAATGCAGAGAGAAGAGAGGGGGAATTGAAATTGGGAATATGGGAGGAAGTGCGAGGAAAGAATGGAAGAATTTGGGGAAATTAAAAGAGTTGGTGGCAGAATCTTAACCCCTTTTAAAGAGTGGTTCATTTAAATATCTCCATACCTTACCATCATAACATTTTTTTTATGTTTTCTTAATCAGTGAAAAAGCTGCAGGAGTAGTTTCTCTCATGTCGAAAGCTTGTGTTTGGGAGGTTGAAGAAGAGTGAACAACCATAAAACCGCCACCCTCTATGCCACTTGATGCTGAGAGAACAACACCAATGCATAATGCAACCACCACTGCATCATCCACAACATGTCCACCTTGCTTAATCAATGAAACATCAATTGCAGAACATCGAGCATCATCAATTGCAATAACTCCCACACCTGCTGAGAGAAACCTAATTTTTTTTCAAAGTAAAAAAACCTTAATCTGAAGAAAAGAAAGCAAACCTTTCAAAGAGAAATGAAACTCATTTTAGGGATTAAAAGCATATTTAATCAATTTCAAAATTCGAATCAGATTTTAAAATTTAACTAAGCATGCATCAAATTTCAAAATCTGATTAAATCTTCGTAAATTTCAAAATTCAATAAAGACTTGATGAGATTTCAAAATCTGTTAGTGTGTTTTTATTGTAAAGCATAATAATCATTTAAAAAAAAATTAAAGATGCTGAATGAAACACTTAGAAGTGGAGAATGAAACACCCATCTTTTATTCGTGCAAAAACTTGACTTGGTATCGTACTTGGTATTTTCTCTTTTGACTGGTTCGTTGATGTATTGAAATGGAGAAAAACTTTTGGAAAGTCTTGGTGGCATGGTCCTTTTTCAAATATCATGGTCCTTTTCCAAAACATGGAAACCCAAAAAGACCGCGCGATAACTGCCCCAGTTGTTTTTTGAGGTTGACCTTTTCTCTCCTTTCATCTTTTTAATTAATATCAAGTGATCTGGGTTGTATGATAACAATTGTATTTGTTATGTGCTTCACGATAGAGATGATCCTGTGAGAAGAAAGGGCAATCACTTGGAGCAAAGAGAGGAGTTAGGATTCACTTCTGCCATTAAAGGCCAATCGAAGTCACGGGCAGCAACTTTTGAATCAACAAATGCGTTCGAAAATTTCATGAAACATGGGATTGGAAGGTGAAATTGATAAAAATGCAGAATTTTTACAGACAAGGAAAGTCTCTAAATCCGTTTAGCATGTTTCTCACGGCCTAACACTTCTAGTGTTTCTCGCGATGTGGGTACTTATACATCACGACGAACATAAATTATATGGTCCAGCCCGCAAACCAGAACTTATACAAACAAGGTATAAAAGATGTTTGTCCAGTCTGCATTTTGCTGACCAAGAACAAGACGAACCTAGTTCGCATTGTCAGTTCTTAGGTAGATTCAAACAACGTATAAAAGATGTTTCAACCAAGAAAAATATTCAATATAAGACAAATTCTCACAACAAATTTAGAATACTCTTACGACCACATTGTCTACTCCACTAAAAATTTATTTAAAAACATCTACTTTTACTACAAAGTAAAGGAAAAGTCAAAATAATACTAAACAAGGTAAAATACTAAGGTTGTAGTTGGAGTAGAATTGTTGATATTACTTGTAAAGGGGAGAATTATCTGTCATTTGAAATACCATGACGTTTGTTTATAGCATTCATTGAGGAAAAGTAATTTGTTGGAATAGCGATTAGGCAAACATGTCTCTGAGGGTTGGGAGCTTGATCTCTCCCTTCTGAGAAAGAGGAATGGTAATGTTGCCGATGACAGGAAGGTCAATAATGAGCCAAATATCCAACTGATAATCAATGTCCCAATCTGCACCAATGTCCCTTGCCAAGCTCAGTAACACCGTGTGTGGCACCTTCACTGGCACATCCAACATTGTTGAATCCTTCGCCTTCAACGACCCTGGGTCTGGTATCGTCCCTGATGCTACCTCCCTTTTCACCACACAACACAATAACAACAAATCATATAACTATCACTCTTCTCCATTGTTGGATGCTAATTTTTCAACAATCCTTCCTCCCATCTAAACGAATTAAAACACCGAAATACTAGTTTGAAAATCATAAATCCAACCAACTGTTCAAATTTAAATCAAACAAATAATAATAACAATAGATCCTGCAAAATCCAACCACCATGATCGTTGTTTCACGACTCAGAAACATGCAAGCAAAACCAATCGATTGACGCTGAGAGAAAGATACGAACCTGTCTGCACTTTTGAAGGAGTACTTGATCTCACAAATAGGAAGCGGAGTGGCATAAGGATTAGAGACGGAAACCTTGGCCAAGTACTGGACGCTGTCGCGGCTGACCTTTTGGAAATCCACGTCGGCCACCGTCGCCTCTGGCTTCGGCATGTTCGCCACTTTGTCCGCGACGTAAGTTTTAGCTTTGTCCAACAACTGCGACATTTTCAGCACTGCAAATATCACACTCACACCGATAACACCAAACGACACCTTAACACCCAAACTCGCTCGCATACTTATAAACGGCAAAACCAGACAAACGGGATGCCGACACGTGAAGACTTTTGGTCGAACGTGGCCCCTTCCGTGTTAGCGGATCTGGACTTTCGGAGGCACAAGGGAATGGAATTAGATCCGAAAATCTGATGATAAAAAGATTAAGGAACTAATGCTGATTATCGCTGTCGTTTTTGTTTCCTTTGATGCCGTGTAACCGTGTAGGTTAAGTGTGCATACAATACGCGTGTTGTTAATTTTCTTGCAATCGTTTGGATTATTTTAGAAGCAAAGTTTACTTTTACATTATAAAATAAAAACTTAGAGCCTCTCTATTTTTTAAAGATACCTATGCAAATATATCTAAAAACAAAAATAATACAAAAATACACTCGTTTTTTTTTTCAAAATTAATAGTGATTGGGTGTACTGATGATGAAACAATTCTTTTTCTCTTTATGTTTTCTTTTTTTATTTGATTGAGCAACGTATTTCGGAAAAAAATAACGAATAATTGTTCTTTTGGGTAAGAGTTTGCTTATTTCTTATTCTTGAAAATTAATTTGTGTTTAAAAAATTAAACAAGATGTTTAATGAATATAAAATTTAAAATTTCTTTTCAAAAATTCAGAACATTGCTAATAAATTTTTATTTTTAACTTTCAATCCTTTGTTATTTGTAAAATTATAATTTTAGCAACTTATAACCAAATAAAATAACACATTTTATTACTTATAAATAAAATATATTGTTTCAATATATATAAATATATAGTATTAATACAATTATTTAAAAAAATTAATAATAATATATATTTAAAATACCTACTAAAAACTTATAGACTATAAGAAAAAATATTTTGTAACATCATAATTTTCTACCAAAATGCTTCAATATTTATTTCTCATCTGATCATGTCAATAAAGTTATCATCGCAAAAAGAAAGAAATATATAAACAAAACAACACAAAAGAAATGATAATTAGTTAATGTGCAAAAGAGTTTTCATAAATAATTAAACCATCTAAATACACATAAGGTAAGCTATCTAAAAATATACATAGTACCAAAACACTCGATAACTTGTTAAATTTCTTCACACAGCTTTCACACATTCATATATGAAATCAGGCTCTTTTAGACTCAATTTATCCGGATACACGCACTTGAGTAAGACTTGTTAAGCTATGCACTTATGGTAGTAATGCACTTTTCTACCGAGCTTCCACTCATAAAGTTAGTTCTTGTCACGATCATAAGAACTCTAGAGTCATCTTTATGACAGTACCTTTTACCACTTTCACCAATTAATCATTCTCCTCTATATGAGAATGAAGGGTTAGTAAAGTTCAGAATAGCTTCAAATGATGGAACAATGCTTATCTCAATGCACACACTAAAGAAATGTCATCATAAAATATCCTCATGAGATTCTTAGAATTGTTGGGTCTATCAAGGAGGAGGTTCATCGGGGAGATATAAACACCAATGAGATCTAAGCCCAACCATATAAGGGAGAGACACCCGTTAATAGGTCATTCAACCCTCCAGCGGAAGCATTCCCAACCAATCACAACCACGAGTAATCCTTTCCAACTGCATCTTAACGGGACTTGCTTACTTGAATACCCTTTGCCATGGAGACTTTTGGTGTAGGGATCATTATACTCGTTTGAGCCGGTCACAAGACAAACCTTCGATTCTGATACCACTGTTGGGTCTATCAAGGATGAGGTTTACAGGGGAGACACAAACACCATATAAGGGATTAACACCACTCTCTACCCAAAACCTTAAGGCAATGAGTTAATGAGTCTTTCATCTTTATATAATGTTTTACTTTCTCATTTCTATCCAATGTGAGACTTAGACTCACACTTGGATTCCCAATAAGAATTATGTTAAACACATACAAGGCTCATATCCATTAACAAGCTCATCAGCATCACCAAAAATTTATACATCATTATTCGCATCCATATTTATCCATAAATCTATCAATCATTCTCAGATAAACATTATAAATCAACTATTATTTTAACATCACATAGTCCTACATTAAACATACCAAAAAAGGACATAAAATAGTATTAGACTTTGATAATTTCGCTTAACGAAAACATCTACTCGCTCAGCTAGTAGTGCCTGATTGTCTACTTGCTCGACGACCAAATAGCTCACCTAACGACTAGATATCTTGTTCAATAAAATTATCATTAGAACTCACAAACTTAATTTTCTTTTTCAAAAGTCGTCCAACGAGACTTGTCTCACCCTTCTATTGTAGAATCAATAAGCTCTAACTTTGACTTCGCCCAACGATCACCAAGTCAGTAGCTCTCTGATTTTGTATCTTCTTTTATATCTTCTTTCCAAAAATAAGTTTTTAATATGTGTTATAAAATCATTCAGTAACCAGTTAAAAAAAACACACCTTTTACTTTTTATTTTCCTTTTTTGGAAAATGGACTTTTCTTTGAAGTAGTTGGTGCATTATGAGTGCTTTATCCTTCCTCATCAATAAACTATTATTTTATTTGTGGTGAACACACATAAATCCGTGGATCCATGTGTATGCATTCATTGGTTTGCTTTAAAGATGAAGAACCATATACCCATGAATACAGATGTAAAAGTGTAAAATGAATTGTTAATTAATCACTAAACATGGAATATGGAGGAATAAGCATCACCAAAAAGAATAGAATGAGAAATCTGACCTCCATTATCGAAGATGATGATGAGTGTTATCACGTTCTTGAGTGGAGAGGTGAAAGTGAATCTTGTAATTGAAGGTAATACAGACTGTGATCGAATGAAATGTGGTGACTATTTGTAATGAGGGAACAACACTTTCTCTCTTTATTTTTATTTTATTATAAAGATTCCTTCTTTCCTTTTCAAGTGGACAAAATGTAACTCTTTTTGAAATTCATTTTAGGTAATACTAATTTGTCACTATTATAATTATAAAGAGTAACATTCAATAAATCACACCCATCCACTAAAAAAATCAACAACAAAAAAAGGAGAAAAATAGTTTTCATTAAAGAGGTTTATGCAAGACTTTTGAATACCCATTTGAAATTTTAGAAAAATAAAATTATGCACTAAAAGAAATCTGACTTTGTTTTTTGAAAACAATTTTTTCTTTGGCATTATCTGGGTGTATATATATATATATATATATATATATATATATGGTTTCTAAGTTGTGATAGCCTATTTAGAGCATTCATAGATATATAACCAGGGTTAGCTCTCAAGGTCTAAGCAGATAAAATTCATATTTTAGGTCTCAAAAAGAATATTAAAAAAACGTTTTTTTTACTAATTACTTTAGATTTTCAAGAAAAAAAATCTTAAAAAATTAAAAAATAAATTTTAAGTAAAATTATAATACATTTTAATATAAATTATTTTATTAGTAAATAAAATAAAATTATTTTTAAATTTATTTTAGATCTTTAAAATTTTTATATCGTGCGAAGGAGATTATAGTTACATAGTCTATTCGTATCTCAAAACTTATTTCAAACTAATCTAATTCCATTTAAAGAGAAGGTAAGTCAGTTCATAAATTATTTCTAGCAAAACATCAAAATCAATATTCATCCAATTCAAATCCTTTTCCCCAACACTATTCCATATCCATAAAATCAAGAAGGAAGATATTTTGTTTTTTTAACGTAAGTAGCATACCTTTCTTCATTAATTTCTCAAGTAAAATTTCAAGTTCATTATCGATATTTACATACTACAACAAAATATCAAATTAGGTTTAAAGTAGACTAATGTCTAATGCAAACATAAAGCTAACGCTTTTAAAAGAAAGGCTATATCATTTCATTTGTTTTTATTTTTTAGTAAAATTTCAAATCAGTCACCTTATTTTTATTCCTTTCAATTTAGTTTTTATTTTAAATTATTTTATTTAATTAGATTCTTTCTATTAGTACTGTGTTAACATTATTAAAGAGATGTCATGTATTAATTCATAATTTTTATTTTATTTTTTAATTATTTTTAAATTTTAAAACAATAAAAATTTGTTATATGTCAAATTGATTTTGTGTCAATGTGACGTATCACTTATTAGGGTCATTAGCTTACTTTCAATTTGATTTTGTATTTTTATTTTGTCTCAGTTTAATCATAATTTGTTTTAAAATTAAATAATTTTGTCTCTTGAAAGAAATTTAATTTTTATATAAATATTATGTAAATATTTTTATTAAAATTTATTTTTTTATTAAATAATTTTAACAAAATTAAATTTATTTATATTCATATTTTGCAATGAATTTTATTTAAATTTTTTTAAAGTTATTAACAAAAAGTAATGTTAATAGAAAAAAAAATTGATTTCAACTAACAAATATACTGAACTTGTTTATCAATTTCATTTCATTAAAATAAAATAAATTTATCAACTTTTTCAATCCTTTTAAATCATTGTATATTTTTAAAATATTTAGAATTCAATAATTTCTATATAAATGCTTGTTAGTTTAAAAATAACAATTTAATGTAAATTTTTTAAATAAAAGTACAAAATTATTTTTAACTTTTTTTAATAAATAATGTTAAGTTATAGGTTGGTTATAAACTTTAAATGAAATGTAAAATGTTAATTTTGTTAACAAATACAAATAATTAACGTAAATAGTTTTGTTAGTGTCTAATTAGATTAATGTTGGATGTTAATAAAATCCATTTAACCAACTATATATAGCAACCATAATTATTTAATTTTAGTATATTTATATTTATTTTTTTAATATCGGTTAAGCTGACTCTTATTAATATATATAAATTTGTGTATATTTATCACAACATATATAAACGGTAGATTATTTTTAATTTAATATTCAAAATTTAAAAATACAAAATCTTTCTACTCATAATTGTTTTCTTTTACTTTCTTTATAAAACTTCTTACACTATTCATAATGAAAAATCTATTTTCACACACACATCTCTTTTTTTCACATTCTTATTCTCATCTCTTTCATTCATAGTTTTCTCTCACATATATTTTCTCCATTCACTTCTATCTTCTTCTTCATCTACTATAATCACTTTCTCTATTTTTTTATATTCTATTCTATTAAAAATGAAAAATTGTTGAAGAAATTATATATTTAAATTATTATCATTAACGTCAGTCAAACGATACAAATTAAATTAATATTAAAAATAAATTTTAAAATACAACACTAAACTACTTTAATTTAGAAAATTAATAATAAATTAATGTCAATTTAACTAATTACTTAAAGTTAGTCTTAAAAAAGATTAAATGTTACAGGATATAAATCCGACATTTTTTATTACCTAGCATTTACTTTTACTTGTTAGCATTAACGCTGAATGTTTATTTTGTTGTAGTGATTCAAAGTGACCATTTTTTAATCCACAATTTGTACAAAATAACATGAAGAAAATATTTTAGTCTTTTTTTCCCAATCCAAAGTCTTTATATTACAATTTGTTTGACTAGATACATTTTTTTATGATTAACATTTAGTATTTATAGTAAATTTATAATAAATATTTTTTTACAATATTTTCATCAAACATAATATTCATTTAGTAGATATGTTATCATTCAAATTAATCTACCACATTTATATTTTTAAATTTTGTGATATATAAGTTAAATATATTTATTTCATTCGTTTTGTTAGTTGGTAATACATGAATAAAGGAAGTAAACTTCTCTGGTTTTTATTTTTTGTTTAAAAATAAATATGATGAATTATAATAAAATAAATTAAAGAGTACGAATAGATATATTGATTTGATATTTTTGAAACAAAAACTTAAATAAGAAAAGGATGAAAATTAAAATTAAAATATAAAAGTATAAATTTGCATATAGATTTGAGCATTAATACTTCCACTCAATATGTCGAGGCCCCGTCTGCTTTCTATAATTTTAATTATGTCACTAACTAAAGGTAACATAAAGGAAATGTATTTATATAATATTTAAAAGAAAAAAAAGAGTAAAGAGTATTGTGTTATTGTCATTAAAAAATAATATATTAATTAATGAAATAATTTAATAGAAATAATATGTTTTTTAAGTAAAAAAATTGTTTTGACACGATAAGTTATATTTTCACACTAGAATGATAAGAAATTTGGTTAAAACTCTTTTGTGAAAAAAAGTTGAAAAGTAAAGCTTGATATACACTGTAAAATTGACAGAAGCTTGATTACACAGACACAGGTATCATGATCACATATAGACACAAAAATAAGTTCACAAACAAACCAGTAACTTATTATAACTGATAGAGAGCACATAAGTAAGTTAACTTTTACAATATAGTGCTTGATGTGTACGCGAGTTTGCATGCAGCTGCAGAGAAACATTTTCACGTTACAAGCTAGCAAGAAACTGTATTTGCTTCAGCAGAGGGGTTAGAGTTTCCATCAGCTTCTCGCATGGATGGTTGTGAATTCCCTCGTACGTTGTCACCACAATGCTTGTGTCTTTTGACAGCCTTTGCACTTGTTTCTTCACATTGCACGTGTGGTGCGTGCACCGGTAGTAACTTCTTCATTATCCATTAATGCAAAATCATAACGAACAGTCATATGCATGCATGCATATATATGCAACGTAAACAAAAGCCCACACGCATAAACATTTACCTTGGATATGTGCTGTTCTTCACAGATTTCTGTCCATATTTCCTCCAGCGATAACCATCATCCAAAACATCATCTGCACTTCTCGTTTGAAAAGCAAACCTCGGCACTCGTGTTGTTTTCTTCACTCTCACACCTTTCCTTTTCTCCTTGCTACCCTTTTCCTCCTCGCAAACTACCTTATTTTGAGCCACTAAAGAGGAAGAAGAAGCACGTTGAATAGTTTCCTTGGCATCACCATTAAGCAACAACAAGCTGTTCTGGGCAGAGAAAAGGTTACCCCATGAGTCAAAGTCGCATAGCCCTTGCTCTTGAGGTTCCAAAGGGTTGAACAGAAAAGGGTCGTTTCGGGGTGGTGGATCATGGCTTTCCATCATGTCTTGATTCCACGAACTGAAGAGAAAATGAGAATGTTTTGGCGTTGAAACTTATAAAGAGGATTTGCATGCATTGAAGATAACGAAAAGTTCGTGCAAATGGTATGAACTTGAAAGGGCAGTTGAACAGAAGTAGTTGGATTTGGTTGATAATTTATAGCATTGGGTGCAAGTAGAGAACAAGCTTCTTTCATAATCCTTTTGCACTTCTCTTAGGATATTATATAATCATTCCCACACTAGTTCAAAACTTCAGATAATATATACTGTTTACCTACCAATAAAACTTGCACTTATGTAATGTACAATTTGATTAAGTCAAACGTTGTAACTTTTATGCCATTAACTGATTTTATGATTTTGTTAACTATGTTTGAATAATAGTAAGTCTAAATTTAAACCTAATTATGTGCAACCTATGTCTGAATTCCCACCACCTATATAATAATAAGTCTAAATTAATATTTAATATTCGCTTTCAAGAAATTGGTGTCTAAATTAATTTTTACTTTGAAATTTTAAATTAATTTATAATCAAATATATAGTAAGTAGTTAAAATCATAATAATTAATGTTAGAAACCATTCTAGATTTTAATTAACAAATCAATTATAACCTTTTATTGGTAATATAAACTATTTTAAATATTAATAATTTTTAATTTATAAAATGGTATTAAATTAGTCATTAATTATTTTTATCTCTAAATTTTATTATTATTTAATGATTTTCTTGTATTGTTAATGGTTAGTTAAACAAAAAATCTTAATAAGAAAAATAGAAACATTGTAAAGACTTGACAAATAGAATGTTATAGAGCACATAGGTGTGTTAAAATAATGAGACAGATTATTTTACTTTAAAATAATCTTATAATATAATTAGAATTTTATAAACACTTCTCATTATTCTAAGAACACTTCATCTCTCTAGAACGTTATTTCTCAGAGTTCTCTGACTTTTCTCTACTTTTTCTCTCCGCTGAGTTATCTGTTCGACAATCAGGAGGTGCCTAGGAGATCCTGGCGTTGAGAGCTTCGTTTTGGACCGATCAATTTCGTGTTCTTCAGCTGGTAAGTGGTTTCCATTGTTGTTTATTCTTCACTGAACTGTGAGCATGCAACGTTTCTGTATTGCATGTGGTTAACAGTTCTTCCTTCCATTTTTCTAGCTCAAATTAAGTTCTAAGTGTTGTTCTCTATCACCAATTGGTGAGTTGTAGGTTTTTGTTGAGTTTCCTTACAGTGCAAGGTACGGTTGGAGCGTTTCTGTGAGTGTGGTTGTTTATCTCTGAGGTAAGGGAAGCTAGGTTGTGTTTCAGTTATCAGTTTGTGTTGTATTGGATAATTCTGTGTTATTGTGTTGTTTGGTTGAAAATTTAGCTGATGAATGTATGTTCTTAAAATGTTAAATTGTGGAGACTGTGGAATGATGATTATGAACTGAATTGGATGTTGTGTGTTGTTGTAATTGAATATATTTTCAGGTGTTAAATCTTGTATTGTGGTGATTAAGTAATTGTGAAGTGATTTGAATGTGTTTAGTGTATTTTAGAGGAAGTGAGGTAGTGAATTTGAGTATTAGAGGTCAAGTGTTGTTAGAGGCTGCTGGGGTAGTTTAGACAGGTCATTTGTGACTTGTTTGAGTCATCAAAATGGTTAAAATTAGGTTCAAAGTGGTCAATTAGGATTTGGGTCTCTAAATTGATGAAATTGAGGTTTTAGAGTAGGATTTGATGCATAAACACTTTAGATTGAGGTTAGGAAGGTCTACAATCATTTAGTCAAGTCTAATTAAGTATATACAACGGATTAGGAGTGTTAGAAGTTGGCAAAGTTGAGTAGAATTGGTAAAGAGCGGTTGAGTTGCATAATTCTGCAGAATTTTGTTCTGCAGATTATGCAGACTCGCTGTGTGAATGGATTCGCATAGTGAGTCACCTTGGCGAGGTGCTCTCTGCCAAGGCACTCGAATAGCGATGGGTGCGTTGTGCGAGTGAAGTGAGAGGGTTGCTTTCTGTTTGTCAATCCGCATAGCGAATCAAATCGCTATGCGACTGGTTGGGGTCTAGAACCATTATTCATTTTATTCGAACAACGAGTGGGTCTCGCTCTACGAGTGTTTAAGAAGTCAGAGTCTCTGCCTGAGGTTCTCGCATAGCGAGTTAGGACGCTATGCGAGGGGTTGGGGTCTGTTACATTTCACAGTTTATTCGCATAGCGAGTTTAGTCACTATGCGAGTGGTTATGAGGAGTTGGTCTCTGTCTAAGTATTTTCGCAAGGCGAGTTAGGTCGTTGTGCGAGAAGCTTATGGTTTCGCTATGCGAAGGTGTGCGCTATGCGAGTGGTTCAGTTTTATTTCAATTTCGCTTGTGATCTTAAGTTGTTTTAAATGAAACATTGAGTGGTATGAAGTAAGTTGAAGTTGTATCATGTAATATCAGTGGTTATTGATGTATGTTGTATTTAAAAGTGTAAAGTTCAAGTAGGTTAATGGATGTAATTTCATGATCCTCAAGGAGAGGAGACATGGTGGTGCCCTATGTTGTGATTCAAAGTAAAATCTCTAGTTGAGATTCAAGTAAGTTTAGAATGGATGCAGGAGCTTAGTCTTGGGGGTTATCCTGAAACTCCAATGGTCTTTCATTCTCAAGTAGAGAGGATCGATCCATGTCGTGAGGAGTAGCAGGAGGTCCTAGTCTTGGGTGCTTCCAGTATGGCCCAAGGTGAGTGATAACAGACTAACCTCGTGAGTGTGGTAGGGTGAAACCCATTGGCAACGGCTTTGCAAAGCAGTACAAGCCACCATGAGTGCACGACCCGCCATAGCTCGGCAATCATTCTAAGTCCGGACAATCAAAGTCAGTGTGGTGTTATGTGTGAATGGTTTAAGTGATGTGAATGAATAATATGCTTGTATGAAGTTAACTAATTCGATGTATGATTAATCTTTGTTTAAACTAGCTTACCCTGTGGTGTGCTTGTATTTTGTATGTTTTGATGTTCTTTTCTGCATGACCATCCATTGGATGTGAGCAACGGAAGAAGAGGTCTCTCTGGAACAAGCATTGGATGGAGGTGATGTTGCTGAGTAGTTGATTTAGTTCAGTAAAGTCTTGTGTATAGTTTTGATTAGTCTTCAGTCTGTATATAAAGTTTTAAATTTATAGTTGTTTTTGGATGACTGTAAAGATATCACTTTATAGTTTAGATGGATAATTGTATTATTTTATCATGCATGTAGTTTCTCTTTGATATAGTCTATACTATATATTTTGTGATGTTACAAACATTATTAGTAAACCGGATAATGTATTAATATGTGGAAATTTTCAGTAATTATATATTTCTCCATTAAATGTTTTTAAATTACATTTCTCCTCATTTTTATTTTCAAAATTCTTTAGTAGAGATTAATTAAAATGTATCTCTTAAATAATGAAATGTCTCTCTTTTACAACTACATCACCAATAACTAATTTTAAACACTCCAATATTAATTATTGCTGTTTTAGAATGGAGAATGAAGTTTTAAATATCTCTATTATCCTTTTTAGAACTTCATCTAAAATCTTTGTTTTGTCCTATATAAAGTGACGAAATTGATAACAAATATTCAAAACAAACAATTAATTGCGTGAAGAGGGAGACATAAATTTATACTAAAAGACTCATCTGTACTAAAATGATTTCAAATACAGAATATAGTTATATTTCCAAAAGGATAAATTATGCTTTAAAATAAGAGGAAAGTAAATTTTTTGTTTCGCATTTTGGGTAGGAAAAGGAAGATAAAAAAGCTATGAACCCAGTTGTTGAGATAGCTTGCTATAATGAGCAAAAAGGAATAGCTTGTGAAAGCTTAAAGTTCATGGTTAGATAGCTGAAATTCCTAAGTTCTCTTAAGTAACCTAATATAACAAAGGCACGCATTTCTCAATATAATAATAATAATAATAATAGTAATAATAATAAATTTCCCAATATGATAATACCAGATGTAACTCCAGAAGCTACTTTGACACGGATTTGTGGAGAACTGTGCCTGTGAGGGATATCAAACATGCACTTTATTGAATTTCTAATATATTTGTACCTTTATTTGACATTCTATAACTGTAGATACATTTTACAGCTTGAAAGTAAATTCTGTGACAATACATTGCTGATTCAAAATTACAATTAGTCTCCCTCATACCACAGCAAAACATGTCAGAAGTCTACTCTGATAAAAACAAACTCTTTCTGCCATACTAAATCTGGCAAATTACAAGGAATGAACAACATCATCTCTATTTCATAGATTTAGTCATTCTCCGGTCAAATCACAGTATCATCTCAATGGCAGCAGGCAGAACACTAATCTTTTTTGGAAGGAACCCCAAATGCTCCCCATCAGATTGAATATAAATACCACCCTTGCCTGATATGTCCTCCACCTCAATAGAAAGTACACTGCAATATAAAAAACACTCTGGGATTAGTACCACCACAATGATCCAATCCTAAGCTTCCATGAGCAGAAAAAGGTAGCACATTAGGTTAATTGTCAAAGTTCGCCACAAAATCCCGTTGCTTTAGTTTAGAATAAACTTAAATGAATAAGCTGTGAAGTCTTATAGAGGTAGTTAAAGAATTAGCCGTTGAAGTCTTAAGGGTAGTTAATGTATTAATCGTTGAAGTCTTATGAATAGTTAATGTATTAGTTGTTTATAACTGTTTTTGCCTGTTTTGATTACAACATTAAAAAAAATCTGAATCTATAAATTGTATTGCTGATTGCATGAACGAAACAACACAGAAAGTGAATAAGTTTATTAAGTTTATTCACAAGAGAGATTTGTTGTCTACAGCCTTCAGTGCAGTTAAGGCACATCCATACACAAAGTTATATCAAACTAAAACAATGATACACAGTAATAAATCCAAGACAATTTTGTCTGAATTGCAGCAAATTTAAAACTTAAATCCAAGACTAATTCACGACATATTTCTAATGGCAGTTGTGCAATCCATATAGCCTGACCTCACTAGACCGTGT